GAGCAAAGAGTTAGATAAAAATATGGTGCCTCAACTGTTCAAAAAGAGATCAAATTTTCAACTTTAAACCCAATTTTGGCAATGATTGTCCATCAAAGAAGCTTTTTAATTCAACGAATGGAATCAATTTTGAACAACAAAAAAGGCTCAACTCAGCTCGATTGAAAATTTTTAAGTTTACTTAAAGAAAGGCTTTTATCATCCCAAATGAATATCATCAGCGTGAGAAAAGCTAAAGATTTAAACTTTTGAATTGCTTATTCTGACGATGACGATTCTCGAAGATGTAATTTATTCAAAATTAGAGTTTGTAAAGGCTTTGATTCATTGGAAAAAAACTTTCGATCAGTCATGATCGTATCAGCCTCTTGTATCAAATCAATTGAATACCAATCACTTCCAGGCTTAAAATGTTATTTTCAGTGCTTTCATTTCATCGATTGCCATTAAATGTAAAAGATCGTCTTGATTTTGTACTGATTTAGAAGTTTTGTTAGCTATGGATTGTGTCCGTATAACAGGTCTGATAACATGATTTATTTTCAATTGAATCGGCAATTAAATGGCAATTGGAGTAGAGAGAACCAGGAAAGACAAAGGAAATGGTGAATCAATCTGCATGTTAATCAAATGTTCATTATATTTCGATGTGACCTTGAAATCAATTTACAAATCAGCCAGGCCAAGTCTAATGATACGTAAATTATAATAGAGAATCAATCTTCTGTTGGCTGTTATTCATCATTTAATCCGGTCCATTGATCGAATTAGGTGCTGCTTAATCAAAGTAAATCACGTTTAGTTTTTCGAATTCCTTTCTCTCTCTACTTCAGGTATTCAAACTCACTCTTCATCCGTATTCAACTTTGAACTAAGAATGCCAATGATGAGGATGAGGAGAAAGAAGAAGACGTAAAAAATGTTGGAAGCAAAAGGCATGAAATGGAGAAAAATGTGATTTGTCCTTGATTCCGTTCCGTTCAATGAGGCCTGAAATAGGACAGAATCCGACATCGACCTACAACTAACGATGACAATGAAAATGGTGGTTAATGTAAAATGATTATCATCATCAATATTGATCATTAGACTCATCACGCACCTTATAATAACAATCATCATCAACTTGATTTCCAAAGTTGAGCAAAAAATCATTACCAATTATGACTTATCTTTCTCTCTCTCTCTTCTTTAGGCGATCAAAATTCAGTTGTTAAATTGAGTCAACATTTATTGAAAACAACACCAATTCTGATGATGATTGCAATCGAAAATTGTTTACCAATTGAGCTTCCAATAATCAGCTGGTAAAAGAGACGTTCAAGTTGATAACAAAAATTGGTGGCGTATCAACAGTAGTTGAAGAAGATTGGAATCAAAAATTGCTACCTTATTTGTGCCTTTTTAGTCAAGGAAAAGGTTGTTGAGCAAATAGTGACTAAATTGCGATTCCTACAAATGTTTACTCGATTGATTTGTCTCTATGGGAACTGGCTATATTTGACTGGCTCAAGCTTTTTCAACAATTTTTACAATGTTTTCCGATAACAGTCTAGATGAACCATTAACATGATATAATTGACGTGTCAAAACAACAACCCGAATTGAAGTGAAAATGAATCTAATCTGGAATCTAGAAGATTCCAGAATATTGATCTTTTGATGAGATGTAAAGGTTGATAAGAACTGCTATGTTAACCATTGTTAAACACTTGGTCTTCAAACCTGGGTGTTTATGACCTTAAAATGGGTAGACAAGATGATGAGGACTTATCAAATGGCTATTATTTTGCTCTCATTTCTTTCCATCATCATCATTATCTATTTGCATGTTCATCAACTCGTAATTATCAAGTCGCAGGGAAACAAGCCAAAAAGCTGAACAAAAAACAAATATGATAAAAAAAGGGCAACAAAAGATGTTGAATTTGACGGTGAAATGGTTGTAAGAAAAGGATGTCTCAAGAGATCATCAGACCGTTAACTTGCCATCTCTTAACCACTTAACCAGGAAGAACGGCTAACAAGTGGCAACAAGTAAAGTGAAGAGTCAAACCAGTAAACATTCACAGGCACGTTCACACTTTCTCTGTCGATGTTGATCATGATTAAAACATGATTAAGACCAGTTCAGCTTGAGAATTGTCAATATCAACGAACCTTGACAAGAGCTAACGAGTTTTGCCCTTCAATCAAGGTGACAACCATTGGTAACAACAATTTTGTCAACATTGAATTACTTGACATTTTCATTGTAAAACCAAATAGATTCATCAGCGTATTTTAATTGATTAAACAGATTCACTTGATGGTAAAATATCTTGTTAGGTAAACATGAAAAGACAAAACCTTCAAAACCAATTTAAATGGTTAACCAAGCTTCAATAATGGTTATAATGGTTGTACTGTCCACTGGTTTAAAAATTGAATCCTTAATCCATCACAATCGACCTGATGAGATAAGTGGTGAGTTTGTCATCATTAAGACTGTGAGAATTGTCCATTTTTCTGTCTATTTTTTTTGGCTTCTTTCTTCAACTTTTTGTGTGTCTTTTTTGTCGTTAATTTATAAGGCCATTATTTGTGGCATAAAACAATCTAAAGACAATTTAAGGTTAAATATTAGCTAATTTTAGTCTGAAAACATAATTGTCTCTCAATTGTCATTGCCAAGTCAGCAAATGGAGACAAAAGCTGATTAAACTTTAAATTGTAATCGATACCAAAATTGGTTGACATTTAACTTTACAATTACAAGTGGAACCCCCGATCATGACTGATCGTAATTTTTTCACTGAAACACAATAAATTCAATCCATATTTAAAGACTCAAATTCTTGATGAAAACCATCGTCAATGAGAAAAACTAAAAACTAAAATAAAATCTGGTTATACAGCTGAACAGAGTGAAATCTTTCTGTACAGTTAAGGTACTATATTTTTCACTTAACTCTTTACTCGAAAGACAGTTTTACTTATCCTTCTAAACCAACAATAAACCATCAACCTGATTAACCAAAAAGTTTTTCCCCCAAAGTTAATAGTAAAAGATACGGATTCTGCGTTTTTTCCCCTACCCTGTTTGAACACTAATTTCTCAGTAACCTGAATTCCGATAAAGTTCGAACTATTTTTTGCGATTGTAGTTTAATCATGGCTTTCATCCTATGCGAAAATTTTCTTTAGAACCCGTTTAGTTTGGCCACAATCTTCCCGCAAAAATTTCATAGTTTGACTTTATATATTGTATAGATTGTCTACAGAATGTTTCAGCCAATGACAAAATATAAACAGTTAATTTTGAAATTACTGTCGCTCAACAATTTAAAATGTTGACATCATCTGTAAATCATAATCCGAATCATAATCCTGATCATAATCTTGATACATTTTCCTTACAGATCAACTTTTCATTTCTCCCTTGTTCTGCTTGTGTTGATTTACAGATTAAAGGTGAACAGTTAAACCAATTTAATGCTATTAACGCAAAATCATTTTTCAACAGTTACCAAATTGTTCAACTTGAAACAATTCTGGTTGAATGAAACAAAAATCGTTTCCATCCATTGCCATTATCGTATCACTTTTCTTCTTCTTCTTTTGCTGCCTTCACGTTCAATTCAGCACAAATCATGCCAATTACCGTTTATATCAACGAGTTTTCAAATGGCATCTAAACTTAATACCATTGACCTAAACCATCAAAGCGAAAGTTAACCATTATCATTATTAACTTGAGAGCAACGATATTAAAGATTAACTTTTTTTCGCCATTTCTCAGTTTCTCAAGTCTATTTTGATTAAGGTCAAGGCAGGATGAGCTATTAATGTTAAACATTATTTTGGTAATCAATAAGCAAAGCTTTTGCTTTCACAGTTATCTAATTGCACTATTTTTTGTGTTGTTTTGTTGTTGTTTTCATTTCAACAATTGGAGCAGCTTTATGGACGATGATGAGGTAAAATTGAAGGAGCAAGAAACAGGCAACTTTAACTGTTAAGATGAAGCCAGATGAGATGATTATCGTGTTGATGATGATACATGGTAATTATCATATTCTGCATGATTATGAGCTGTTAGGTGGCAAGTATATGCTTTGGATAAATAGATTGTTTTAAAAATAAGTAAAGCTGTCCGTTGGTGAAACCATCAATTAGGCGATTCTTTACTGGTAAAGATTAATTGTTGACCGAGTTGACCATTCATTTAAAATGATAATCAACCATTTTACTTTGATTGTTGCTGTTGATTCTTTGATGCCTTTAAATAGTCCTTTAAGCTTCACTGTAATCTTTGCTTGTTAATCAGCTTACTAATCCGATTCACTGGGAACACAAAGTGTTGTCTGATTGCGCTTTCATTTATACCATTCAATTATTGATGTTAATCAATGGGAACACACTTTTCCAGCTTCATGATGTTTCGTTAATTAAATTGTTCCAGGTTGGCTTTTCTTTGCAACAATTGAAATTGTTTTTATTTTTTAAAATTAAAATTTACAATTTGCTGGAAGTAGAGAGAAAAGGTAAAAAAATATATTCATTTGCATGAAACAATAACTGTTGGAGTTATGAGTTGAAAAAGTAAAAAACAGTTTTGATTTTTTTGTTTCTTCAACAAAAAAAGCAAAATAAATAACAATTATTTTTTAAATATTACATTGGAATTGAAGTTGATTTTTAGGTGAGAAGCATGATTTGAAGAGGAAAATGCATGATGATCGGAAGTTGAGGGTGGCTCATGAGAAATGATGAGATTGAATGAAAATAATGGTTAATAATAAAAAACCTATTATTTCGTGTGATTCAGTCAAATTGGTTTTTTATGCTTTCCTCCTTTCTTTGTATTGTTTATTTGGTGGGAAGATGATAATGATTATTATTTATTATCATTATTATGTTTAACTTTTACTATTGATTGTTGAATTGACCCAACATCTTTTCAAAAAAAATCCAAAATTGAATGTTCTCATCTGATCTTTCGATTCACTCTTTTTTCCAGTGAGAGATGAATATAGACAGAGTTGGCCCATTAATGAAATAACTATCATTAATGTTCATCAAGAAAATGGTTGATTATCCTGAGAGTAAAACGTTCAATTGCTGTTTGATGTTGGTTGACAAATGCAATTTGACGGGAATCGATAAAGCTTCATCATTGGACATTCCTTTTCTTTATCAATGTCAATACTGATCAATAGTTGAGTGAAAAACTTTTGAACACAACGTGATTTGGAGGTTGAAGATGATGACGATGAACATTTACCATTGCAAGATAATCCAGGAGCACTGATGATAATTGATGGAAACATGGGAAATGAAAAAAAATGAAGAAAAAAAAGAAAAGATTTCAAAGTTAATTTTCTTTCCAAGTAATGAGAGAAGAAAGAAATCGTTAAATCTATTGTTACCTGCAAATTTGAACAGGAACCTGCTGATGGTACAGATTAGTTTGAGCAATTAAATACCAACTTCCATTTATATCTTGAGCAATTATCGGTCGAATAAACTTTTTTTCTGAATCACAGAGGATATTTGAATGGCTTGGTGCACTTTTTGTCCAATGATCTGAATCAATTGACCATTCCTTTGAGCTATCAGGTTGAATTGTCGTTGATACGGAATCTTCATTAACTGCTTCTCCAGTTTTGTTGGACGATGTTACCGGTTTAAATGGTTTATAGTCTGTATAGTCTTGAAGGTTGGCAGGAACTTCAACGTACATTCGATCAACGGACCGTTGACATCGGCGAATGATACTTTCCACAAATTCACTGGATAGAGAGAGAGGAAGACAAATGAATAAGAATTAGCATGAAAAAACAAACTGATGATGCATATAAAATTTGAACTGTAATTTTGTTTAAACTTGAATTGATTGATGTACAACTCAATAGCCTTTATTTTTAACCGCTTTTGATTAACTCGATTTATAACCTATTATTTTTAGGATAACTGGTAACACACTTTAATCAATAATATTAAAAACACTTGATTGACTTGAACCGTGAAAATTTTTATAATCAACGTTTCAACAAAGTTAAACTCTATTAACTTAATTTTCATGTTCCGGTTAAATTGTGACCTTTAAAGGTTTGCAAACTCAACAAAATAACATTAATCATCAAAAATAACAATTACATAAACTGAGAGTTTCAAGTTTAAAATATTCATCTTGATTGGTATAAATAAAGTTGAATCTAATAATTTTAGAGAACGTGTTCAACAATTAAGATTAATCGTTTGCGATGAATCAATTGGAAAAAATATGCCAATTGAAATTGCATTTTCAAGATTATTTTTGATCGCCTTTTGTATCGGTTTGGGTATTTACTGGGATTAATCAATATCTATCTCGGTGAAGCATACTGTAGTTATGATTAACCAACATCGTTATAATGAAAATAGTTACGAGCTACTGGGAAACAGGTCAAATTGGATGACAATATAATCAATTAACTATGCAGGTGACAGAAAGACTATATTACTTCTGGGACAATATCAATCAAAATCAATTCAACCCTGGATTCTCATTAATTTGGAAACTTATTTAGACGTTAAAGGTGTTCATCTTTCACCTAAAGGTTTAGGAATATTGTTGAATAAATTTTAGCCTTTCAACTAGAGGAAATTAATGGTAAACTGTTAATTTGTTGAGGGAAAAATGATCAAGTTATCAAGTATTCTAATGAAGTTTTTATAAAAACTAGAAATAAATGGCGAGTTTAAATTGAAAGGTTAAAAGTAAATTTTCAATTATTGATAGCTTAATGGAACCAATTTGATATTAATAGAGCTTAATGAAAATATTAGGATAAATTGACATGAATGAGAAAAGCTAAAGCATGATTTACAATTTAATCAAGTAAACAATTAAGGCATGGAATAATAATCGATAAAATGATTGACATGAGACAAGTGAAATAAAGATCAATTTTTGTATGAAAAAGAGAAGAAAAGGCTTCAAATAAATAAGAAAAATCAATAAAAAAAGGCTGACCATGGTTGAATCTAATTTAGGCATGAAATTTGGTTAAAAGCCACAAAACATTGGAGCAGTCCAGTCTGGAGCGGAACAATTCATAGAATTGGTTTAGGAAAAAAAAACAGATAGAAAATCGTATTGACCTGAAAACGAAATATCTCATTCACTATTGAACAATTATTGACTTAAGTGTCCATCAAAAATCAACAAAAAATAACAAACTTCAACAAACTTCATTTCCAATGCTATTTTGCTATTTCATTTATCTTCTCATTCATCATTTTCACCATTTCCATCACTATTCAGCAGAAAAAAATGCATTTAACAAATTCGTGACAAAAGCATCTTGAAACTTACGTTGGATATTGATCACCAAGATCACACCATCCTAAATCTTTATTGGCACATTCAATGGGTTTACCCTTTGTCCGTGTTTCTTCAGATACAAGGCGCAGTAAGTCAGTTGGATTGATTGGAAGGATTATCTTGTTGTCTGGTTCAACCTTTTCTGGATGAAAGAGAGATAGTCGAGATGAAAAGGTTTCCATACTATTTTCAGACATCTCATCATCCAAATCATCAATATCCCCATCAATTCCATTAGTATTCTTGTCCAATAGTGAATAATATTTAGGATCACGAGAATTGGATCCTTTACCGTAATCTCCAGTTCCATTGGAAGGAGCCATTTCATAAGAGTTGATTGAATTAGGATGAGTGCTTGAAAGCAATTGGCTTGACGATGCTGGTCCCATAGGTTTAAAGCCACTGTAATCATAGCGAATAGATTTAAACTTGTCATGTTTATCGTCATTGTATTTTTCTGTGAACAATTGGCCGTCAAATTTGTTTAAACCATACTCGTTTTCAATGGATACAGCAGGTGATTTTTCTTTCCGCACAAATTCCTGGGTAATTTGAGATTTTGATGAGTCTGTAGTTGAAAGAGGCTTTATCAATATGCTTTCAATTTGGTTTGATTGTTGTTGTTGATGGCTTTTAGTATTATAGCTGTTTGAATGGTAAACTGATGTTGGTGGTGATGAGGCTGATGAAAGTAGAGGAGGTTGATGAGTTTGAGGTCTATGGATTGATGATTGTTGTGATAATTGTGGTAGCTTTTTACTGTTGGAACTTTTTACATCATGATCTGCTGATTGAATACCGTAAACTGCAGGAAAACTTAGTCTAGGTCTACGATAATGGCCCAAGATGCCGTTATATCCAGGTTCATCATCATTGTCGTATTTAACTGGTTTTGGGATCGTTAATATGTTATGGTAACCTACATTTGTATTAGGTTGCAGAGGTGGTGTTGAGTGTGATTGCGATCGACCAAATAGAGCTCGATTTGTTTCTTTTAAACTTCGAAATGGATAGCGAAGTCTCCAAAACAAGGATGATTTAGGCGGAGATTTTGTCAACGATGATTGCGATGATTGGTGAAGAAGATGATGTAGATTAGGTGAATGATTATTTGAAATGTAAGATGTTTCCAAATTTTCTGAAATTGTTGGATTTAAATCTTGAAATGTTAATCCTGCTTGTTCAAATGCTGAAGATAACATTGCAGCTGTAGCAGGCTCATTACGGTTAGAGTATCCATTAAATTGTAATGTGAACACAATTTGAATAATAAAGACTAGTAAAACGTTGATAAAATCCTATGAGAAGAAAAAAAGAGGAAAAAGAACGAGAAGACGAAATTTAGCAAATTTCGCAGTTTGACTATCAAAAATATCAACAACTTGAACCACGTCTAATTTGCGCAAACATTAAATCTCAAGACAGAAACTTGATCGAATGTTCATCTTAGTGGAAAATGTGCAAACTCAAGACAGACAGAGTAAAAAAATAGCAAATTTAAACTTACTTGATAAATCATTTTTTGATAATTAGAGAAAGTAAAAGTAAAGATAAGAGAAAGAGAGGAAAAAAGAGGGAAAAGAAGAGAAATGTAACCAGAAATCAGCTTACGTTCATTGATGAGCTTTCAGATGAATAATATCGTAATCAACTGTCTTTAAGAAGATTCACTCGATGAATGAGTCTCCATCAAAAACAAGTAACTCTCTCAATCTATCCGCCTCTCTTATCCACTCACTCACTCATCTCTCTCTCTCTCTCTCTCTCTCTTTTGTACTCCTAATCATGAAATCAAGAAAAGGTAAGGTCAATTGAAGACGCTTATTCAAGGTGTCTTCATGTGATTCACATTTCAACATATGTTATCTTCTGTATAAGCCATCTTTCAACTTTCACTGTTGGGAGTTGCAATCGTTTTCTTACCTTTACTTAATACTTTAACTTTGACTTGTTCACAATCAAAATCTTGTTATTTGCTGATTCAAAGTAAATCAATAAATCCAAGTGAAAATATGCTGTGCAAAAAAAACGAAAGACAAACCTGATGATGAATAAGCTTCATGAAGAAAAAAGTGAACTTCAAGAGGATAAAATATGGTTCCGATGATCCGTTCGTTTATCCATTTATTCACTTCTTTTTCTCGTTTTTTTCTCTCTTCATCCTCTTCATTTTCATCATCCTTCTCCCATGTTCAACTCTCTTTTTCTACTCCTACTGAGAAATTTTATCCCGATGGAAAGTGTGATAGTTTTTTCTTTTCTTTTCGACTCTTCTTCAAGTTTCATCTTGAAAATTGTCAACACAGAATAAAGTTTAAATAGGTAATGAAAAAAATTTTAACGAAAAAAATGTGATATATTTATAATGGGATAGACTTTGGAAATAAAATTTGAAATGAAAATTTCGAGTTTAATATATGCATGAAAGAGGTCTTGATTAGACGAATTGAATATGAAACTTTTTTATAAAGTTGAGATTACAGACAAATCTTGGTCAATCTACTTTCATGTTAAGCTCTTCAATTCATCTTGTTGCTGATTTGAACACTTTGCTTTCTAATAAACTCAACTTGACAATTTACTCGAAATAAAATCCCAATCAGTTTCAATCACTACTGATATATGGTTCATCATCAGCTGGTTATTCTTGATTTCTTGGCCTGGCATGTTTTTTGCTTGAGATTTGCTTTCTTCAAGAAAAAAGTGCCAAAAATTGAAAATTTTGATTCATTTGAAGAAGATTAATGTTGGAACAAAATTTTGGGTATACTTTCATTTCGCCACTAAAGACGATTTCAAGATGATCTTCTTAAGGCTAGAGAGGGGTGTAACTCATTTTCAAAATGGATTTCTTAACAAACGTCTTAAAGTATCGGAAATTGGCTCAAAACTTGTGCATTAAAAATCAATCAATAAATTGTTCATCAATCGATAAACTCTGTTTACTGCTAAACCATTAGGTTAACGAATAATTAGCAATAAATCAATGCGATGAAATGCAATAGAGAATAGATTAATATTGAATAGAACAAGTTTAATTCTTGAATTGAAGGTTATTATTCATCTATTTGGTCTGATATCAAAATAATGATAACTTTGTGTAGAGTTAATTTCGATAGATTGAACCATTTCTGTTAACTTTTTGTTCACATTAATCTTGGCCAAGTTACACATCATGATGCGTCTATTCATTGAATGTTATCGATGATGAAACGAAATTCAAGCCATGAATGGTGAAAAGTGAGGGAAGAAGATAAAAATTGCAACTTCATGGTTATTTCACTTTTCAATTCTTTTGTATTCACTTGTTGTTCAACATAATTATCGTTGTAATATTTACACAAAATGTATTTCAACCAAAAATGAACTTTAAATTGATTGGAAATTTCGATTGTGTGTTGGTTTCAAAGTTTTTTTTCTCTCTTTCAATGGTTTCCAAAACTTTATCCACAACTTTATTGACTCAGTTTGAATAATGATGAAAAGAATTTGATTAACACAATTTTTTTCTTTAATCAACTTTCTCTTAATGAAAATACAAAGATGCAAAGATACAAAGCCAACATACAAAGATTTAACTAGAGGTGGGCGATTACATCGATTACCTCGATTATAATCGATTAGTTCAAACAAAATAATTATCGATTAGAGAAAAAAGTTAATCGATTAGTAAACATGCGAAATCTAGCTATATTAGCTAGTACAGTTTGTTTTTTCACGTTGAATTCATGGCGAATTTTCAGTGAATTCATGTTATTTTTGAAGTTTTCTTGCTTTTTTTCGATTAATCGATTAATCGATTATCTGAAGAAATTTTTGATTATAATCGATTATCTGATTATCAACTAATCGCCCACCTCTAGATTTAACCAACATTTTTAACATTTTTTGGTTCATCGGATCGGTACTTAAGTTAATTTTCAGGTTTCGCCATCTGGGTCATAATTAGTTTTTAGAGAAACTAGACAAAAGAGAGATGGAAAAAACTAAATTCAATCTTAAAGGTTTTTTATTGTTGGATGGCGACTATGAAAAAATCTCGAATTCCGTTAACTTAAATCTAATATCTATTGTATTGTTTGGTTTTGTTTCACATTGATTGGCGTTGAATCATTTGGTAAAGGTAAATGTATGGCTGGTATTGTTGGTGGTCGTAAAGGCCATCCCGTGAAGGAGATAAAAGGTTCCTTTCTCAAAAGAGAAAGCTCGAAAAGAAAAACATGAATAAAGACTGCAAAAGTTAATTGATTCAATCAAATATGTCATGTGTTAATTTAATCTTATTATTTCCCAGTGAGATTGGTCAAGCGGGTCCGATGGATGGATACCGATGTTTGGCCTGATATAATCGACTGTCCATATCTTCTTTTCAAGGATTATGTTAACCATAAAAGGAAAGATGTGGTCGACTTGATGCTTAAACCTAAAAAGGTTAGTTATAATGCAGCCAGCGAAAATGAGATGTGAATACTTTTGGTATCAATTGCGCAAATAAAGATTACATTTTATTTATCAGTGATGATAGTTTGTATCAGTATTTAATCGGAAATCCATCATTTTCAGTATTTACATTCACCCTAAACATTTTCAATTGATTTGAATGCAGTTGAATAAGGTGAATCAAAACAAAAAGCCTTCAATCTTCAATTTTTATCAAAATCAAGTTGATAAGTTATCAATTTATGCGTCAAATTTCTCAAAAATTTTCGCATCTCAATTTCCGTGGCTGTATTATTGTTTCAAACAATATTCAGTTTCATTCAGTTATTCGTAATTAATCTTATGTTGTACAGGGTTCATTAATCAACTTTAGACGTTTGATTCCTTTTTTCTCGTCGATGCAAATAGACTCGAGCTTTTGAATCATATATTCTGTTAGCCCTGCAAGTAGATTGATTAATTTAAAGATCATTTGATTCTGTGCCAAACACAAGCGATGCTATGAGCTAGAGGCCGAATTTTGAAAAATTTATTTTCGGATTTTTTTTTGCAAAGTGTGAGAATGATTTTTCTAATATTTAAAGATCGTTTTCATATGATTTTTTGTGTACTTTTGAGGCAATTTAGTTTGATTTGATTGCTCTCCCTGTTTTCGATTTACTAACATTTGTTCAAATGCACGCGCAATCACCGACAAACAGATCACCTCTGTTTGGAAATGGATCATCTTGTGCCCCTACTGAGTAGTCCAGAATGCTAACGAGGACATTAGAAAATTTTCAGAATAGCTACCAGGTGTCAATTATCTTCTGTTCGAAAAGTAGCTCAGGCATGTTTATAATGTAAAAAGATTTGCCGTTCCAAACTTTCGGCTTTCGTTAGACTTCCTGAAGCAAAAAAAGGTTCTAATTTCTGGAAATCTTTTTTCGCGTTCTTGTTCTTCATTCAGAAGAAATCAGATTGATGATAAACTCTAAGACTGCAAAAATACAGCTATTCAAGCGTCTAAAGTTAACACCCTGTATTTTTTATCCGGTTTAACAGAGTAATCTGATGAAGATTAATCCGGAAAAACCCTGCCAATAGTATGGGTAAGTTTCTCTAGAGCCAGCTACTACACCTATCATGAGATCAGACGCTGACGAGCTCAAGTTTCGCTGAACCACACTTGTGGACCTTCCTGAAGGAAGAATCCTGTTACATACATTTCAACCGATAGTTTCATGCGTTTGCATTTTCGCGCAATCGCGCATTCTACTTTTCCTGACTCCTTGAATTGCTTCAGTTCTGACTTCGATACATTTCGCTACGATCAAGAACCAATTCTTCTTGCTGGCGTTGCCGATTGAAAAGTGTTCTGACAGAAATATGAAAAATACCACGCCTTCTGATCTTCTTTTACTACCAGTATTTCTTCGTCAGACTTATTACATATTGTTCAGTAACCAGAAAACTATCATGAAACGCCTAAAATAGTTTTACAAATGCACAGTTTTAGATTCGCTCTCTGTATGTCAATATTTTGCTATGTAACTGAATATTCAATACAGTGGCGTTCCTCTTTCAATCGTATGTTGCCACATCTATAAAAGTACAAAAAAATTTCTAAACAAGTGATTGTTCATAGACTGCTGAAACTATCTGAATGGGGGATGCCTATTCGTTTTGACTTTTTGCTAATTTCTTGAAATAAATATTGACGCACACTTTAATACAATAATTTGTAAAAACGCACATTTGAAAAAATTATTTTTGGATTTTTATGATAATCTCTAGGCTGCAGAACAATATGTACTAGGTCTGAGTTAGTCTTTATAGGATCGATAAGGAACGCCATGTCTTTGAATATTTAGTTACATACTAAAATAATTTAATGACAATTAAAAAGGCTTAGTACAAGAGGTTGTATGCAAAACAGTGCCATCTATCAATTTTTTATGCATTCATTCCTTTTCAAGATTTGGTCATGATCTAGGCTAACGTGACGATTTTTAATGAAATAAACCTAACTCCTCCTCTTATCCAGAAAGTAGGCCTTGTAATAGGCTTATACAAAGAGCTCCTCTTTGGGCTGATACCAAAGCTGACAGATATCGCCCTCTTCATTCACGTTACAAAACTATTTAGTTTTTTCTTGGAACATATTTTGTAATTTAAATCTACACGGAACACTTAAATTTGATCTCCTATTTTTTTATAACTAAATGCTTTTAATTAACTAATTGAATAATATTTAACTTTGTGAAATCATCTGGACTCCAAGTTGATTGTTAAACCTTTGCCATCTACTTTTGTTATTGTTGTTACCTTGTTCTTATTCTATTTTTATTGATATTCTTTGGATTCAAACAATTTTAACAAATTATGGTATTAACTCAAGCTGAATGGTATTGGGGTGATATTACACGAGAAGAAGTTAATGAAAAATTAAAGAATACTGTTGATGGTAGTTTTCTTGTTCGTGATGCTTCCGTTAAAGGTTCAGGTGAATACACTTTAACACTTCGAAAGGGAGGAAGTAACAAATTGATAAAGATTATCTATCGAAACGGTAAATATGGTTTTACTGAGCCATGTTCATTCGATTCAGTTGTTGATCTCATTTCTTACTATCGAAACCATTCATTGGCTCAATATCACCCTTCATTGGATATACAGTTGCTCTATCCTGTTTCCCGATTTGATAAAAGTGAAGTCTGTGAAGAGTCAGAATCAGAGGATATTAATGCTTTATCGGAAAAATTGATCAAAATAAATAAACAGTGTCTCATTATTGCCAATTCTTATGATAAATACCACGACCAGTACAACAAAATTTTACACGACATTGGTATGTACAAACAAGCCTTTGAATCAATTAATGAAACAATCGCTATTCTGGAAGCTCATATCAAATTGAATGAAACACTAAAGAAAGAAGCGCTTTCACATGAAATCAAAGCAATGGAAGATCATTGTAGGATTTTGACTAAACGTAGAGATGAAATGGTCTGTAAAAGAGGTGACATTGAGTGCAAGTTAAAGACGGCAACCAATTTAAGTCGCTCATTGGATCGAGAAATGAATGGACTCAAGCCACAAGTTACCCAACTTCATCGTCAACGTGATATACTGCAAACAATGTTGACCAACAAAAGTGTTTCAAAAGAGGTCATTGAAAATATTTTGCAATTAAGCCTCGATGAAGCTGATGTCATCAACACTGGTATCACTGCAGGTGAACTTTGTGCCTCAATGAATTCAATAGCCAACAGTACATCCAGTGAAACATCTTACGATGACATTGGATCACCTTTAACCTCTACTCTTTCATCACCCATTTCCTCTTCAACTGTTACTTCATCTGACGCATGTAATTATGTTGTCATAAAAAATTTGAAAACATTACCAAAAAAAGAATCATTACCCCATGAAAATGAGCGTAACTGGTTAATTGAGGATTGTGACCGTCACGAAGCAACCAAAATGCTAGCTAATAAGCCAAGTGGTACTTTCTTAATCCGTAAGCGTCGTCAAAGTGGACAATACGCATTATCAATAGTTGTTGACAAGATTTATCATTGTTTGATCAACAAAACTGAACGAGGATTTGGGTTTGCTGAACCCTACAACATTCATCCAACTCTTAAAAGCCTTGTTCTTCACTATCAGCAAACCTCTCTGGAAGAGCACAATGACATGCTCCACACGACTTTAGCCTATCCGGTATTCAGTGATCAATCTAATATTACAGACTCATAGTAATAAATTAATTAAATTTAAAAAACCTACTACGTTCAACTATACATATTTACAGATATTATAAATAAATATAAATTGCTCTGTTTTCATCTAAACTCTTTTGTCTTCATAATTTATTTGCATAGTAACACTTTGCTTCTATCAACCGGTTATGAAGATGCAGCTTTATTTCCTCAATTCCATAATCAATCTTCTCTTTTCACAGGGAACATTTGAGTTGACAGCTAGTGTTTGATTCACAGACGTAAATTAGATAATCCAAACAGTTGATCTAAATCGAAATCTGTTAATCATTCACTGTTCTTTTTTATTATTGTAGTTCATTGATACAGGGGATATTCTGATTTAAGGAAGAAAAGAAAGAAATGATAAAAATGATAAGGATTATCCTTAGATAGAACACAGAAGAAAAAAAAGGGAGCAGCAGGGTTTAATTTTAGACTATCAATTGGCTTCACCCTCCTGTTGTTCATCTCCATCCCCTTGTGTATCTGATGTCCAGAGCTGAAATGAGTAAGAATGAAGAGAGAAACGAAAAATTATTACCAGAACATTGTTTATCTCCATTTGACAATCAACTTACCGTAAGATTATCTCTGAGGAGCTGCATTATGAGCGTACTATCTTTATAAGAGTCTTCATTAAGTGTGTCCAATTCGGCAATGGCGTCATCGAATGCCTAAAAGATGAGAGAGATTGTCAAGAAGAAAAAGTAAAGTTGTTTAGATTAGTAAGAATTATGATTAATTTGCATGTACTCAATATACTTTTGTAAGATTAAGATTCATTTGTATTGTATCAGGAATGAGAGAAATATTATAAAGAGAAAAACCATGCAGAAAGATTGAGTATGGCTGATGATGCTATGTAAGTTAGCTGGAGAGAGAACTCCTGGTGGATAAAACGGGGGGCGAGAGAGGAAAGTGTAAGTGAGAGTGGGTGGGGAGACAGAGAAAAAACAAACAGGCGCTTCACAGAGCAGAAGTAGGATGGACTATCAGAGGAAAGAAGATTACCTGCTTTGCCAAATGACAAGCCCGATCAGGCGCATTAAGAATTTCATAATAGAAAACCGAGAAATTGAGAGCTAGGCCCAATCTAATGGGGTGAGTTGGCTGCAATTTATTTTTGCTAATGTCAAATGCTTCTTGATATGCTTTCTGTGACTCCTCAACCACACCTTATGATTCGTAGGGATTTGAAAGAAAATAAAAGGGGAGAGAAGAGAGGAAAGGATTAATGTCAGTTTACGTACCTGCTTCGCAAGTTGACAAGCCTTATCAGGTGAATTGAGGATTTCGTAGTAAAACACGGAGAAGTTAAGGGCAAGGCCCAGACGAATGGGATGTGTTGGTTGCATTTTACTCTTACTTATATCAAAAGCTTCCTGGTATGCTTTTTGAGATTCTTCCACCACCTTGTTTCTCTGATCTCCAGTGGCTACTTCTGCCAAATACCGATAATAATCACCTTTCATTTTTAAGTAGAATACTTTGCTCTCCGCATTACTTGCCTTGCTTATTAAATATTTATCTAGGAGAGCCAAGACTTCGTCGCAAATTTCTATCAATTCCTTCTCCACTTTTCCTCGGTATTCTCGAGCCATCTGCTGTTTTCTCTCACTTCCCTCAGTCTTTTGTTCTATACTTGAGATGACTCTCCACGATGATCGGCGAGCACCAACAACATTCTTGTAGGCAACGGATAAAAGGTTCCTCTCTTCATTGCTCAATTCGACTCCTGTCTCGGTGACTTGTTTCATGGCCTGAGACATGTCATCATACCTTTCAGCTTGTTCGGCCAACTTAGCCCTTTGAACCAAATCATCTTTATCCATTTTCTTGTTTTGTTGTTGAGGGGGGTTTCTTTAGATGTAAAACAGAGTTTAGATTTGTCCTCAAAAAGTGATGATGGTGGTGGTGGTGGTGGTAATGGTTGTAGTGTGGAAGTAATTTGTCCCATGAAGACGATGTGAAAATTGACACCCCTGGTTAATATAATTTAAGTTGATCAGTAGATTACAATATTACGGCCTCAGACCTTAAGTAGAGATGACAATAATAACTCCAAGAAGTGACTAACTAAGGGAGAAGTAAGGTTACAATATATTTGATGAGAGAGAGATAATGCAAAAAAATACGCGTGCGTATTTCGCTTCCCAGGAAACGGAAAAGCATACATTTTGTGTGAAGGATGATGCAGAGGAATTTTTTATTGGTGTCAGAAGATAGCGCGAGAAATCGTCA